GCGCTATGAACAGTATAAGCAAAAAGGACGAGCTCGCAAAGGAACCCAAGATGGAAGCTTTGTGGTTCGGCTTACTTGATTGTGCAGATTCAGTTATATCCAACTCGAAATTGTACTGTTTTGTTTGGTTGACTATAGTGTAGCAGGGCAGGCACTATAGGGGTACAATTTAGGTGAAGGTTGGATGTTGTTTGTCTGTATCTGCATGCTAGAGGGCGAGGGGAAACCAGCGGAACCAGCATTTGGCTGGTTGGGCAAAGACAAATCAGGTTCTGTTTTTAAGACCTGAACCTGGTTGTTGTTTTCCCAGGTTGGAAAAACAGAACCAGAGGTTGTTTACCAACCTACTACCTGCTGTTTTGTCCAGCCAGGTTGGTTCTGTTGCTTGGAATTATTTGGGATCATCCCTGGTTGTTCCCAGGTTTATTCCCAAGGTCCATGCTAGCTAGAACTATATATTCTTTCTCTGTTTGTACCTGAACATAGTCAATTTGATTCAAGCGAATTCCTTCCTTGCTGGAATTTCGTTTCTACGCGGTGCGACGGCGGAATGCTACCCGAGTCAACGCTAGTACGCTAGCACTCCAACGCTAGGCTAACGCTGTCCGAGCCATAACTTCGTAATGGCAGAACTTTTCGCGAGGCAATATTGGCTTATTTTCAAGCTCTTAGAGTGAGCTTCGATATAGAAAATTCTCAGCTTAATCCGATCGACGGTCTGCACGATACACTGCGCGACGTTCAAGGTACTCTTGCTGTTTTGACTAAGTCCCTCTTGATCCCTCTCTCTACAAACTCGGACCCGAGGATAGGGGCTGGTCTTGTACCAAGCACCCAAGGACCCTTGGAGGTGACCCCGAGGAGAGGTTTTAAGTTTGATAAAGTCTTAATAGCTTGAGTTTATTAGGCCCTTACACCAACAGTAGTCGATGCACATCCGTAAATTGCCGTCTGGTTTTGGAGTGAAGAGGACTGGTGCACCATAGGGAGAGGTGGATGGGCGGATCAGTTGTCTATTCAGTAGATACTCTATCTGCTTCTTCATGTCTGTCAGTTCGGTCGGACTCTGTCGGTATGGTGCACGTGAGACGGGTTTCGCACCTGGTTCCTCCACGATCTCGTGCTCGTGGGTGCGTGCTGGAGGAACGCCTGCGGGTCGGTCGTCGGGCATCATATCCTTGTACTGCTCCAAGACCTCCTTCACTGCTGCAGGTAGCTCCGAGCTCGGCTTCTCCTCTGCTGCAGCCATAACCAGTGCTAAGTAACCCGTGTTACTCCCGTTCACCGTCCGTTCGAACCGTGCTAGTGTCGTTTCAGGAACGCTCCCTGTATCCATCCAGCTTCGCAGCTCCACTCGTTTCCCGTTGTTGTATATGAACGCCTTCCTGTTGACCCAATCGATCTCGGGGTTGAACCGCTTCAAGAAATCTCGCCCAAAGATGAAATCTGATCCCTTGATGTCCGTGATTGGCAACGTCGGCTTCAACCTCAGCGCCCCTATGTGCAGCTGCAGTGATGCTTCGCCGTGGATGGAAAGTTTTTGTACCGTTCACTATTGTTGCCGAGAACTTGGTCTCCTCCTAAGATTCTCCAGTTTTATCCAACGTCCCGTGGTCGCACACCGAGTGAGACGCACCGCTATCCACCAGTGCCCGGAGGTATCGCCCGCTGCAGATCACCTCGAGTACTGGTGGTTGTTGCTGCTCTGAGTAACCGTAGATGGTCTCGCTTATAGGATCGTACGGTACGTCGTATAGATCATCCCTCGGTCCTGCGCTCGAAGCTGCTGACTCCATATCAGTTTTCAACTGAGTAGGGGTAGAAGGATTTATCCGAGGCTGATTTAGCTTCGTCTTGGCCTAGAACCTTCTCTTAAGCCTTTGCAGCTGTGTAGGCTTCACCTGTGGGCAATAGGGAGCCTTAACACCATGCTGCGGCGAGAGAATAGTAACTCCTTGGAACACACGACCCTTTTCAACGCTTCGGAGTGGTTTGCCCAACTTCTCAGCTACCTGAATGATGTTTGAAGGCTTTTTCTTCGCCTTGAAATCTCCCATGAATTTTTTTAAGGCTTGAAAACCTCGAGAGGGAATCTTCTTAGTCTCGGGGGTGTTCGGCTGGAGTTTCCCAGTCGGTACAGAGTCTTGTTTTGCGGAGCCTCCATTGGTCTCGGCGATTACCCCTGTTGCCGGCCGGTCATGGCGTTTTAAATTCGCGCCATCGTGTCCTCCTTTTTTCGCCATCGTGGATGTCGCACTGTTGTTGCCCTGCACCTCCACTCGTGCCTTCTTCATTTTCCAACACGCCAAGAGTCGATGTCCTGCTGCACCACAAAATTCGCACTTCTCATATTTTGTCGGCCGCTGCTTCGCGTCGATCTTGTCGATATCCATCGGGTCGGCGGTCGTGGGTGGTGCCGATCGCTTCGTGCCAAATGATCGGTTCGGCACGTGGCGTCGTGTCTCGGGTTGATCTCGCGTCAGCGCATCGAATCTCTCTGCTGCACACACCATGTTATGGTGGTTGTTGTAGTTCGCGGCAATCACCTGTTGGCGGACTTCCATCTTTAGCCCCTCAGTATACGCTTGAATTTTTTCCCCTTCGGTCAAGTCGGTAATTCGGTTGAAGAGGCTCTCCATCTGCTGCGTGTACTGTGTTACACTGCCGAACTGTTTATACCGATGAATCTGCTGCCGCGCCATGTAGCTGGAGTTTATTGGTTCGAAACGTTGAATCAAAGCTTCCCGAAACTGCTTCCATGACCCCTCGCCTCGGACCTCGTTGCTATTGTAAATCCGCTCGAGCGCCGGGCCTCGTAATAGTGTCGCTACAAGCCGAATCCGCATTGCATCATATGTCGGGGTCGTACAGCCAACGCCCTCGAAGTAAATTTCGAGGGTCGCAATGAATCGACGGACGTAGGTGTCTCTTGCATTCGGATTGAACGTGTCCGGTAGCCTCGGACGTGCCGCCTCAAGATTCACTGTAGCCGCTGCCGCTGCTGCTGGGTTAAGTGTCTTTGTTGCCGCTGTTGCTGCTGACGTCGCTGCTGCATTCGCCGCTGTGTTCGCTGCTGCTATGGCGGCTGCTGACTGGTTCGCGAGAAGCTCCTCTATTCGCTGGAGTGCCGCTCGCGTCTGGTCCAGGCCGGTGTGTAACTCCGTAATTTTTCATATGGAATTATCACCATTTTCCTCCATTTGGCGATTTACAGGAAAATTTGCGACGAAAATGAATGAATTCTAGGCGCTAGGCATCTTACTCTGAGTCGAGTCGACTGTAGAAATGACGAGCGCTGATTCTGCAGGTCGAGTAATTCTCCTTTGATTGAAATTCGCGTCCGATCTCGGCCGTTGAGATGAAATTCGATCCAACGCTCCAAATTCCAACTATTTTTGGGCGAAATTCTCAGGGACGTTGAGATTCGAATCGATCTGACGATCGAAATTCCAACTTTTTCGCCACTGGACCTGAGGAGTGTTCGAAAAACCGGTTCAAGGGGGGCGTTAAAAAATAGCGCGGAACTGGTTTACGTACCCGTAATCGGCGCTTTTTGTCGTCACCCCCGCGGTTTTATAAGCTAGGTATTTGCTGGCACGGGTTGCCTCTCCGTCTGTACGCAAACCCCCCTTGTGCTTGGCAGATGCAACGTGAGCCGCTGCCTGCTCGAACCGGTTCCCCTATGCCTTCTCGCATACGGTCTGCACACACACCCACTCCTCCCGCATCCCTCATGTGGAGGTGAGTATAACCGCGGGATCCTTCAGGATACGTTTCAGGAATGTGGTGGCTTTCAGGGATGCAGCTGCGAGAAGAGGTAAGGAAAAAACCGTCATGATAAGGTATGAGAAGTGGATCGAGCGGTAAGTACCGCAAAGGGAAGAGACGCGAAAGATCTCGGCGAGTACCGTTCATGTCATGAACCTTTTTTACCGTCAGGTTCCAGTTGGTGAAGTTTTCCTATCTCGGCGTGACATAGTGATCGTGGTAACGAGACATATGCGGACCGCTGCAGAACTTGCAGGTGAGTGACGGGTAATGAAGCAGGTAGCGTTTCTTCTGTCAGAACATTATAGCTTACTCTTTTCTGTAGGCTATAGTGGGGTATCCCATAGGGGGTACAACCCAATTAGGGTTTCATATTTGTACTCACTTCATTTCATAGTGCATTCATTCTCGTTCAGTTGTCACATGGTATAGAGCAGGTTCCCCTGTGGGAACTGTGCCTAGGGCCCACCACTCGAATTTTTTTTTTTCCTGCCCGAAGCGCACTCATCCCGAGTCGCGCCTCGGGCCACTCCTTCCCCGAGCCGCCCTAGCGGCCGGCCTTACCTTCGCGGCCCCGCCACCCAGTGAACGCGGCCCCGCCGCCTCTTCTCTCGCGGCCCCGCCGCCCAAGCGCTCGCGGCCCCCGCCGTCCCTGATCTCGCAGCCCCGCCGCCCCAGCGCTCCCGGCCCCGCCGCCCCTGATACGCGGCCCCGCCGCCCAAGCACTCGCGGCCCCCCCGCCGTCCCTGATCTCGCGGCCCCGCCGCCCCAACGCTCCTGGCCCCGCCGCCCCTGATACGCGGCCCCGCCGCCCCAGCGCTCACGGCCCCGCCGCCCCTGATCTCGCGGCCCCGCCGCCCCAGCGCTCCCGGCCCCGCCGCCCCTGTTACGCGGCCCCGCCGCCCCAGCGCTCCCGGCCCCGCCGCCCCTGATACGCGGCCTCGCCGTCCCTGATCTCACGGCCCCGCCGCCCCAGCACTCACGGCCCCGCCGCCCCTTGCTCCCGAGCCGCCCAACTGCAGCAGCCGAGCCGCCGGACCGCCGAGCAGCAGTGCAGCCGAGCCGCCCTTGCACCCGAGCCGCCTGGGAGCCGAGCCGCCCGGGAGCCGAGTTGCTGAGTAGCCGAGCCGCCTTTTCTACCGAGCCGCCCGACCTGCCCTGCCCGGTGAGCACTGTACCGCTGTCGCTGCGTGCCCTTCCCCTACTGCTTGCACTGCTTCACTGTCGTCGTCATGGCTACCCCTAGTGTTCTCGCTTTTGACGCTGAGGGTCGAGCCGTAGACTTCGAGGTCTGGCTAGACGACCTGCAATTGTTTTTACAGTGCGATAGGGCGGACGGTCTGTCTCTCTTTGACCTCACCTCTGGCGCCGTCCCTTCCCTTGCTGCTGATGCTGACGCCACTGTTCGCTCGCAGTGGGCCACGCGCGATGCTGCTGCACGTCTTGCTGTGCGTCGCCACTTGCCTACCGCTGAGCGCGCGCACTTTAGCCAGTACAAGAGTGCCCAGACCTTGTACGACGCTGTAGTTGCGCGCTACTCCTCCCCTGCCACTGCTGCACTGAGCCGCCTCATGCTCCCCTTCCTCTTCCCTGACCTTGCCGCCTTTCCCACTGTCGCTGATCTCATCACGCACCTCCGCACTAGTGACACTCGCTACCGCGCTGCGCTTCCTGCTGACTTCTGCGCCAAGAACCCCCCCCCGATGTACATCACTCTCTACTTCTTAGTCACTCGCCTCCCTGACTCCCTTCGTGTAGTCCGGGACCACTTCCTCGCGGTCTGTCCCACCACCCTCACAGTCGACAGCCTAGAGAAGGCCCTCCTTGCAGCATAGAAGAGCATAGTCGCTGTAGGAGCCTCTCGAGGTGACCCCTGCGCCCCCATCTTTGAGGGGTGTTCTCCTTCCCCTCTCCTGCCCTCTGTCGCCTCTGCCGCTGCGGCCGACCTCGTTGGTCTTGAGTCGGTCGGTGCGGCGTCTGCCCCTAGCGGGAGACGCCGCTCTGGCAAGGGCAAGGGGGCCAAGGGAGCGGGTGGGGCCAGTGGGGGCGGTGGAGGTGGAGGTGGAGGCGGCGGAGGGAGTGGGAGTGGCGGTGGAGGTGGTAGCGGGGGTGGGGGTGCTAGTGGCGGCAGTGGAAGCGGGGGTGGCGGCGGCGGTGGCGGTAGTAGCGGAGGTGGCGGAGGTGGCGGCGGTGGAGGCGGAGGCGGGGGAGGTGGAGGCGGAGGCGGGGGTGGCGGAGGTGGAGGTGGTAGGAGTGGACCTTCGCAGCGGAGCGGCACTAGGGGAGGTCAGCGCCAGCAGCAGCAGCAGCGTTCTCGCGACGTCCCCACCCCTCAGCAGCTCCGTGAGTGGTACACGCAGCGTCAGCGCGGTGGGGGTTTTGGTCCCTGCACCTACGTTCTCCGCACTGGCGACCGCGCTGGAGAGCAGTGTGGGAGCACCCACACCGCCCAGCGCTGCTTTGGCCGCCTGACGGACGCTTGGCGCCAGCAGTTCCCGGAGGCCGCGGAGATCCCCTCTGGGGAGAGCTGTCTAGGGCTGGTGTAGCTATCTTTGATCTTGATTTTGATGCTATCCTTGCTGCCATGTATGCTGTGACCATTAGTGATGAGGGTGACTGTTACCGGTGTTTCCCGCCCGACCCGGGCATTGGTACTGCTGCTCTAGGTGCCGGTGAGGCTTCTGCTCTAGGTGCCAGTGCGTCTGTGCTCTCAGGTGCTGGTGAGGCTGCTCTCTCAGGTACTAGTGCGTCTGCACTCTCAGGTACTGCGTCGGCTTCGGCCTCCCACACCTTCACTCTTGACTCTGGAGCGTCTCGCTCTTTCTTTCGGGACCGCACCACACTCACGCCGCTTAGTCGGCCGGTTGCGGTTTCCCTGGCTGACCCCTCTGGGGGTCCTGTCCTGTCTCGCTTCTCCACAGTCCTCCCGTGTCCGGCGGCTCCCTCTGGCACCCTGTCTGGTCTCTACCTCCCCTCGTTCTCTACGAACTTGGTGAGTGGTGCTGACCTACAGGATGTGGGAGTCCACCAGTTCACCCCTGCTCGTCATCGAGTGACGCACTGGACAGAGGCTAGCACGAGTCGTCACCTGGCTACGTTTACCCGTCAGCCGGGGTCGAGCCTGTACACACTGACCACTGCTTCTCCTCCAGTTGCTGAGTCTGGTAGAGTCCCTTCGTCTGGTCAGGTGTTTGCTGCAGCGTCCAGGTCTGGTCCTGAGTCTGCCCCCTGTTCGTGTCGCCGTCTGTCTCACGAGACCCTCCTCTGGCACCACCGCCTTGGCCACCCCTCTCTGCTTCGGCTCAGAGGCATGGCCTCCCGTCTTCTTGTGTCTGGTCTCCCCCGGTCCCTCCCTCCCCTTCCTCAGGGCCCTCGCCCTGCCTGTGTCCCCTGTGTCGAGGGGCGCCAGCGTGCTGCCCCTCACTCCTCCCAGTTTCCTCCGACAGAGGCTCCGTTGCAGACGCTTCACATGGACGTGTGGGGCCCTGCCCGCGTCCGTGGACTCGGTCACGAGCGCTACTTCCTGTTGGTGGTTGACGACTACTCGCGTTACACCACAGTCTTCCCCTTGCGCAGCAAGGGTGATGTCACTGAGGTGCTGATCGACTGGATCCGCGCAGCTCGTCTCCAGCTCAGGCAGAGCTTTGGCTCGGACTTTCCGGTGTTGCGTCGACACTCGGACAGAGGCGGAGAGTTCTCCTCTGGCCTTCTGCGTGCCTACTGTCGTGCGCGAGGCATCCGCCAGACCTTCACGCTTCCGGACTCACCGCAGCAAAATGGGATTGCAGAGCGCCGCATTGGCATGGTCATGGACGTCGCTCGTACGTCTATGATGCATGCGGCTGCCCCCCATTTTCTGTGGCCGTTTGCGGTCAGGTACGCGGCGCATCAGATCAACCTCCACCCCAGGGTCTCTAGGCCGGAGACCTTCCCAGCCTTGCTGTGGACGGGGAAGGCTGGCGATGCGTCGGCGTTCCGGGTCTGGGGATCTCGGGCGTTTGTCCGCGACTTGTCTGCGGACAAGCTGTCCCCTCGCGCTGCTCCCTGCGTCTTCCTGGGGTTCCCCCCCCGACGCCCCTGGGTGGCAGTTCTACCACCCCACCTCTCGACGTGTTCTGTCCTCCCAGGACGTCACGTTCGACGAGTCGGTACCCTACTACCGCCTCTTCCCCGACCGCACTCCGTCCCTCCCCCCGCCCCCACTCTTCTTGGTACCAAGTCCCCCCCCGGTAGACCCCCTCCCCCCGAAGAGTCCTGCCCCTTCAGCTGTGTCCCAAGTAGACGCGGTCGAGACTGTCGAGGTCACCGGTGACTCTGGTGCTGCTGCGGGAGCTGAGCCTAGGGGTGCTGAGCCTGGAGGTGCTACACTTGGGGGTGCTGAGCCTGGGGGTGCGGAGTCTGGGGGTGCTGAGCCTGGGGGTACTGAGCCTGGGGGTGCTGAGCCTGGGGGTACTGAGTCTGGGGGTGCTGAGCCAGGGGGTGCTGGGCCTGGGGATGCTGAGACTGGGGGTGCTGAGACTGGGGGTGCTCCGCCTGGAGGTACTTCGTCTCGCCGAGAGCCACTCTCCCCACAGGAGTTGCGTGAGTGGTTTGCCCGACGCTGGAGGCGTGCTGCTGGTGCTGGAGGTTCTTCGGCTGCAGAGGGTGCTGCTGCCGAGCGTCCCGGAGGTGCTCGTACTGTGGGTGCTGGAGCTGCTGGGTCTGAGGGTTCTCCTGGAGCTGGTGCTGCTGAGGGTGTTGGCGCTGAGAGTACCGCTAGCGGTCCGACTGGCAGTGCTCATGGTGGTGCTGCTGGAGGTTCTGGAGCTACTGGAGGTACTGCTGGAGGTGCTGCTAGAGCGGATACTCCTACTGGGGTTACTGGTGCTGTCCCTGCTGTTTCTGGCGTAGCCACGCGACCCCGACTGTACTTCGTTCCGCTTCTGCAGCAGGTTCTTGGTCTTACACCTTCTCCTGGTCCTCCTCCTCCTTCCTTAGATGGTCCACAGCCTCTCTCATGACAGTCCCAGCTACAGCCTGCCTCCCCTTTGCCTGCTCCTTCTCCCTACGCTGGTCCGACTGGAGGTCTTACTGAGCGTCGTGAGCCTGCGTCTCGTCCTGCGTCGCGTGTTCGTACTGCGCGCACTAGTGGTCGCGGTTCTCGTCAGCGTCCACCTCCTGTCCCTGGCACGCACCGGATGTCTCTGCGTCCGTCCACTGCTCCTCTGCGTGCCCCTTTGCCTTCTCCTCCTGCTTCCTCTCTTCCTGCTCTTGCCGACCCTGAGTCGGACTCTCTTCGTGCTGCCAGTCCTACTGTCACGCGTCTCCTTGCTACTGCTGTCACTGACCCTTCTTTCGAGTCTTCTGCTGCGTCTGCCCTTGTCACTGAGCTCGTCGACTTTGCTGCGCGCTATCGTCTAGACTACGCTGCTAGTCTTGTCGCTGAGTCTGAGTCTGCCTGTCCTCCGTCCGTCGGGGGTGAGTGTGCCCTTGGCACGGACGTCCTTGAGGACAGGCAGGAGGAGTTCCAGTGTCTGGCCGCCGCTTCACCTCATCTCGCGTCTGTACTGCTAGCCCCTGAGGGAGACCCGGATGCACTTGACATCCCGACTCCGCGCTCTTACGCGGAGGCGATAGAGGGTCCCTACTCCTCTCAGTGGCAGGCAGCTATGGATGCAGAGATGGCTTCCTGGAAGTCCACAGGCACCTACGTTGACGCTGTTCCCCCTCCTGGGGCGAACATAGTCAGTGGCATGTGGATCTTCAGGGTGAAGCGGCCACCGGGTTCTCCGCCTGTCTTCAAGGCGCGTTACGTGGCTCGTGGCTTCAGTCAGCGGCAAGGGGTTGACTACTTTCAGACCTTCTCCCCCACCCTGAAGATGACCACTCTTCGGGTACTGCTGCACGTTGCTGCTCACCGTGACTACGAGCTGCACTCTCTTGACTTCAGCACTGCTTTCTTGCAGGGCAGCCTGCACGAGGAGATCTGGCTGCGTCGCCCACCTGGCTTCGCTGGGTCTTTCCCTCCTGGTACCCAGTGGAGTCTCCGGCGTCCAGTCTACGGTCTCCGCCAGGCGCCACGTGAGTGGCACGACACACTGAGGACTACGCTGGCGGCACTTGGGTTTGCTCCTTCTACTCCCGACCCGTCGCTGTTTCTTCGCACCGACACCTCTCTGCCGCCGTTCTACATCCTCGTGTACGTCGACGACTTGGTCTTTGCCACAGCTGACACTGCTGGACTCGCCTACGTGAAGTCCGAGCTGTAGAAGAGACACACGTGCACTGACCTGGGTGAACTGCGCAGCTACCTTGGCTTGCAGATCACCCGGGACAGAGCACGCCGCACCATTACCCTGACTCGGTCACACATGGTGCAGCAGGTCCTTTAGCGCTTCAGCTTCACGTACTCCTCGCCTCAGGCCACTCCTCTGCCTACTCGCCACTCGCTCTCAGCTCTGCCTTCGGATGAGTCTGTAGAGTCGAGTGGCCCGTATGCAGAGCTTGTTGGCTGCCTCATGTACCTGATGACCTGCACACGACCTGACCTTGCATACCCTCTTAGCATTCTCGCACGCTATGTTGCTCCTGGGAGACACCGACCAGAGCACATGGCTGCAGCGAAGAGGGTGTTGCGCTACTTGTGCAGTACGTCGGGCATGGGGCTAGTGCTTGGAGGGCGCAGTCCAGTGGTCCTCACTGGGCACGCGGACGCTTCTTGGGCTGACGACCAGGCTACGCAGCGGTCGTCACAGGGTTACACCTTCAGCCTTGGTTCCGGCTCTGTTTCGTGGCGGGCTACCCGCTCGTCTTCTGTTCTCGGCTCCAGTTGTGAGGCTGAGATCTACGCTGGGGCTATGGCTGCACAGGAGTTACGCTGGCTCACCTACCTGCTGTCCGACCTTGGAGAGCCGCCTCGTTCTCCTCCAGTCCTGTACGTAGACAACAAGGCCATGCTGGCCTTGTGTCGAGAGCAGCGACTGGAGCACAGGACAAAGCACATTGCTCTCCGCTACTTTCTTGCTCGTGAGCTACAGCAGCGTGGACAGTTGCGACTTGCGTACGTGGCCTCTGAGGCCAACACTGCTGATGTCTTCACCAAGGCACTTGCGCCTTGTGATCATCAGCGTTGTTGCACGCAGCTGGGTCTTGTGCCTGTCTTGCCTCACTTGCTCACTTCTTGAATTTGCTTGTACCTTCACCTATATATACTCTTGCTCTTACTTGCTTGACTCTTGTATATCTTTATATATGATCTTGCATGTGAACTGGCCTTGTGGCCCTTGAACTTGTGCTCGGAATGTGTGGTGACTTTGTGATCCACCCTGAGCTTTGCTTTGCTTTACTTGACTGGTCTTGTGACCCCTTGTTCTCCCCCACTTTGCCTATGGGGGTGTGTCAGAACATTATAGCTTACTCTTTTCTGTAGGCTATAGTGGGGTATCCCATAGGGGGTACAACCCAACTAGGGTTTCATATTTGTACTCACTTTATTTCATAGTGCATTCATTCTCGTTCAGTTGTCACATCTTCGATGTCGGCTCTTCCACAAAATACCTCCAGCGATACTCATCTTCAGCATGAGGAACAACCAGCCCACGAATACGGTCAGTATCAAGCCCAGAAACCGAATCCAGCGTACGGTGAAAGCCAAAACCTCTGGCAAAAGCACTCCTGCCTCGCTTGACCAGCTTTGACACAACCAGCAGATGGCGAATAAGCTCCGCAGTGATTTCTGCCGGCACCCCCTTGACCACCACCTCCTGCGCCAACGGGTTTAGAACACGTTCTCGGAGGAAGCGCGCGTCTTCAAGGAATTGCCAGGTAAGGTCGATGATGTCCCCATTCACACACTCGTGTTTGATGACATGATTCCATACGAAGTGCGTGTCTCTGACATGGTTAAATGTGACTTGCAGCCGACCGTAGCGTGTGCCAGAGAAGAAGGTCGCCGAAAGCTCCTGTTAGGTCGTGGTCTGCAGCACATCCGGAGTTAACTGGTCCTTCCAGTCGTCCAACAACGCAGCTATCGTAACAGCAACGCGCTTGACTTCCGTTTTCCTGAGGATCGGCACTAGCAAGGTTACTGTGAAACGTTTCAGAGCCAAAGCACTGGAGAGCGAGGCAGGTTCCAGGTGTTCGTCCGAGTCGTCACTCAGATATCCATCGTCTTCCTCCTCCGGGACCGGATCAGACAAGTCTTCTTCTTCATCATCCTTATTGTCCGTGTGAGTAGATCCTTCTTTCACCGGGACTTGATCTTGTCCTCCAGAAGTCGCCTCGTCAACAGCGACGCCATCACTAGTACCAGCAGCATTTTCCGCCTTGTTTTGCAGATCAAGCAGGTCTTCAAAAGGGCCAAGCACAGCAGGCGTCGCTGGGGAGATGGCCCGGCTCTTGTCAGCAGCATCTGGCACAGGTACGTCAGGAACATTTGTCTCCGTCTCCTTTCCGTGGTCACCTCCCTCCAACTTCTTGCCAGCTTTGTTGCTACGCGGTTTCACCATTGTGCGATGATGAGAAAGGCTTGACAACATGAGAGTGGCTGGAGAAAAAGCTGATCTGAGCACCAAAACCTCCGATGTCTTATATCTCCTGTGTTTAAAAGCGAAACGATGCAGGTCCAGGCCCGAGGCGACAAGTGCGTCCTCAGGGAATGGCCCAGGGCCTCGAAGATAGTTGTCCTTGGGAAACACTGGGCTGTTTGTTGAAAAACCATTGATGTCGACGCGACCTGATGGAGACAATGATAATGGCGCGCGTTAGTATCCATGGAGCTGCTTATAGCCTTAAAAATAGCCTTGAACTCTTAGCTTGCAGGATGCACACTGAAACACAGACGATTGCCTGGAACTCAAATAAATGGTGGTTAGGTTCCCGTAATGAACACTAAAAGAGCACCATTGTGAAGAGGACGTAACCGCGCATCGTCTGGTAACTTCAATGTTGACATCAGGCAAGAAATTGATGGACATTGGGTTAGTCAAAGCTCTCCGCTATGGCCATGGCTCCATTTCCATTGCAAAATGCCTAATGTTGCAAGCACTCTCAGAAGATGGCTTCTTTCAAAAAGGACTTCATTGTCAAACCGGCAGCGAAGTGAGCAGTGACCTGGACGAGTGCACTATGAAGAGAAGGGAGGAGGCGGTAAGGTGGATTTTGGGAGCAGGCTGTGAAGTCGGTGCTTTTTCTCTTTCGCTGTAGCTGGTTGTATCGTCGCAATAAAACTCGATCACCCGTGGATGTTGTGGGGCTCAAAGGAGTGGCCCAATGAATAAGCACAACAACCTAACCATTCTCGAGCTCAACATCAACGGGCTCGGTAGCAGTGGGAAGCAAGAACGATGCGCACAATGGATCAGGAAAGCAGCAAGCATTGTGGTACTTACTGATACGCGTGTTCCAGCCGATCACAATTTCTGGACGCAAGTTAGATCATAGGCTCAGGTCGTGGTTGGCCTATTGCAGAGAGCAGGAGGGGTGGCGGTCTTGGGTTTCCTGCCAGGGAGCGTTTCACAGAAGTTAGTAAACATGCGTCTGGTCGACTCTTGAGCTTGATGGTATCTTGGCGGGATCTAAAGTGCAGAATAGTGGCAATATATCTGCCGGCGAAGGCAACTGCCAGGGGGATCTTCTTCCATGATGAGTTATCCCCTTTCGTACAAGGCCTGGCCGCCTCTCCCTATACCGTCCTCATAGGAGACTTGAACATCGTAGCGGACCCGGAGTTGGATAAGTCCTCAAAGCTGGGGACTCCGGCGGAGAACCAGAAGCTTCTGCAGATATGCTCGAGATGGGACCTGCAGGATGCTTTCCGGAGTCTTCACCCGACGTGTAGAGAATTTACTTTCTTCTCTAGATCTGCAAGGACGAGTACGCGGATTGACAGGGTGTTAGTTTCTCATTCCCTACTCGGGTGTGTAACGGAGGCGAAGCACTGCATGGTACCCTATGGCCTGACTGACCACTGGTTTGCGGTGAAGGTGGCGCTCAAGGCGGCGGCAGCGGACGACCACAGTCCTGGCTTGTGGAGGCACCAGGCACCTCGACCCGGGGGTGAAGGGGTCAAGAACATCATTTCAGCAGTGGTGACGGCGCACGAGAGCAGCTCCAATCAAAGCCTGGAGAGACTTGTGGTGAACATGCGAGCCTGCATGCGGGCTCATGTAACAGAAGAGAGGAAGAGGGTGAGAGCGACCTTGGCACATCTAGAGCAGAAAGTGGAAGAGCTGCGGTGGAAAGTGATGGCAGATGCCAAATCACAAGGCTTATACGAGAAGCTTGTCAAGGCTGAAGCAGCGCTCAAGCTCTATCATGACAGTAACAAGGAGCGGTTGCAGGTCATGACAGGGATGCTGATGGAGCTGGTGAGCGAGACGCCCTCGGGTTTCTTGTCGGGGCTGGTCAAGTCGAGAAAGGCAAAGACGGATATTCTGGAGTTAGTTTTCAAGGGGACGCAGAGGAAAGGGGCGAAGGAAGTGTTACAGGCGTCCTCCGAGCACTTCAGAGAAGTGTACGCGGAGTCACCGCCAAATCATACCATGGTGTCGTGGCCAATAGATGAAAGCAAGATGCTGCAGGAAAAGGATCAACTACAACTTGGTGCGGAGTGGTCTGAGAAAGAGGTGAAAGCAGCGCTCAAAAGTTTGCCAGTGGGAAAAGCTCCAGGGCAAGACGGTCTACCGAAGGAATTTTTTTAGCATCATTGGGAGCTGCTTGGGCCGGCTGTAATGAAGGAGGTTAAAGGTTTTGAGTTGACGGGGGTACTCTCGGAGGCGTTCACAACTGCGGTTACCATCCTGCTACACAAGAAAGGAGATAGATGCGATTTGGGCAATTACAGACCGATCACGTTACTGAGTTTTTTCTATAAACTACTGGCGAAAGTGATGGCGAACAGAATCAAGCAAGTCTTACCACGGGTGATCTCGGACAAACAGTTTGGCTTTCTTCCGGGGAGGAGCCTCGCTGGCGCGGTCTCGCTAGTAGCGGATGTAATCGATTGCTGCGGAGGAGGAGGATGAAGATTGGCTGCTGTTGCTGGTGGACTTTCAAAAAGCTTACGATTCTGTGTCGCGAGACTACCTGTTCATGACGCTGAACAACATGGGCTTTCCTGAGAAGTATGTGCATTGGGTGAGAGGGCTGCACGATGGCGCGGCAACCAGGATGCTGCTGAACGGGTGGGTAGGAGATCGTGTGGCAATGGACAAGGGGGTGCGGCAAGGTTGTCCGCTCCCCCGTACCTCTTCCTTTGCGCGGTGGAGCCGCTCTGCCAGGAGATAGGGAGGAGAAATCTGGGAGTTCGGAAACGGGGGGTGAAGGGGGAGCTCGCGTATATTGGATACGCAGATGATACAACCCTTGTCCTGAGAGGAAAGGAGCAAGTGGCTACAGCGGGAAAACTGCTCGACGAATTTGCAGAAATTTCGGGGCTGAGGGTGAACAGCAGCAAAACGACACTGATGCCGCTAGGGAAGAATATGAGGAGGCTGCAGCCGATAATGTCGCCCTTCACATGGGCTGACAAGGGCAAGTTGGAGCGGTTGCTCGGAATCTGGATAACCTCTGGTGGGTCGCCGGGTCCTGCATGGGACAAAGCGTTTGAAAAGGTCAGCGCGGTGCTGAGCTGTTGGGAATCAAAGCACCTTAAGACATCGGCGAGGGTCACAATTATAAACAGCTACGCGATGCCGATCTTGCTGTTTCAAGCACAGATATATGCTCCGCCGTATGATATCTGGACCAAGGTGAAAAGACTATGCCACAACTTCATCCCGGGTGGAAAGGCACTCCTCGATCGGCATTTCATCCTCTGGAGTTACGAGCTGTCGTGCAGGGGGGGGAAAGAAGGAGGTCTGGGAGTGATCGACTTGAAGCAGCGGATTGACAGCACTGTGATACAAAATTTGGGAAAAGTTTTGGCAGAACAGGTGCCGCTCTGGAATTGGCTATGGGAGAGGGCGGCCGGTTTCCCGCTCGGCCTGGCCACGATCTACGCCCACCCCTCAGTGCTGAAGCATTGGCTGGGAGGGGCATGAGGTGGAAGGCAGTGGTGAAGGCGCTGTGGGAATCGAAAATTGTGACCATGGGCGACTCTGCACACAGATGGGACGCAGAGGAGGAGCAGCTGCTTTTTAACCGCAAGATTTTCTTCAGGGGTGGTTCGCCTTTCGGAAATCAAGCAGGCTCACTCTGTCTGAAAGGTGTCCGCCTTGGGGACCTGGTGGCCAAAGGCACAGATGGTGGCAGAAGCCTCAAAAGCGAGGTGGTCCTGGAATGAGAGATCGCGGCCCGCTAGGTACCCCAAGAACAAGGCTGCTACACACTCCGATCTGTTAAAAGGGAGAACGAGCCGAGATGCAGCAGCTGAGGAAGGCGATGAAACCCTCGCTGTCTCAGCCCAAGCAGCAGTTGCGGTGGGAGGAGGAGACGGGAAAGAGGATCGACTGGGGGAAGGCCATCACGGTCCGGGACTCTTTGGCAACCCCATGCAGAGCGAGGGAGGTGGTGCTGAGGCTGCACAACAACAACCTGCAAGTGGGGGAGAGGCTCCCCTTCCTGGGGGAGAGGGCTAAGTGTGTACACTGTGGAGAGGTGGAGTCGCAGGATCACTATTTATTCAGCTGCCCGGCGATACAGCCAGTGGTTGAGGTGATGAAGGGCGTGGTACAGTGCATGAACCCAGGCAGGGAAATGAAGTCTCTTGGAGACATGCTGTTCCAGAAAAGTGGCACGTCGACCGGTTTTCCGGAAGCTGCAACCATTTCAATTACAGCACAGCAATGCGGCTGGAGAGGTGCAATGCGGTGTTCCGTGGCAGCCGTTTCCAGCCTAAGAGGGCACTGAGGAACATAGCGGTTGGCTTTACAAGACACGTGAAGATATACAGCAGAGTGCGGAAACGGTCGGCTGGTAAGAATGTTTCGAAGAAGACAGGGGAGTGGAGTCATCTGGATGCTGACGAGGCAAAAGCATTAAGCAGACTGTACAAGAGCGAAGCCTTGATGACGTGGAGAGCGGGCTTCAAGGCCATATGGGAAGATGGCGGTGTAGCCTTTCAACCCCCGTGAGATGGAAGGGGGGGCCTGGTTACCTGTAGCCACCTGCATGCCCTCCTAGAATCAATTACGACTGCGAGTGTATGTATACGTGTAGTGTACTTATGCTCACCAAAAAAAAAAAAAAAAAAAAAACTAGGTTTTAGCGGTCGAAAAACTTCGCGTCTAAACAATCTCTAATTACCAACTGTGAGGATCTAGGATCAAGCTCATAAAACATAATATGAATTGAATTGAATGATCACCTGGGTACAACTCGAGGCTATATATAGGCTCGACACAAGGCCCAGTAACCAGGTGTTACGCGAAGGTTCCGAGGGTCGCGAAGCGTCCCGAACAGATCCTTCCTGAATTCGGTAGAAGGTAATTCGGTGGCAACCGAAAAGCCATAATTCGGTGCACGTAACCTAGCTTGGTGCTATAACTATAATAAAATATAGGAAAGCACCTAGCCTAGGAAATCAAGCAATTCATGCATGCATATAAGTATCCTTTGCTAGAAATAGCATGATAGAGCAAAGGCAAGCAAGAATAGCTGGCATAAGCCGTCTGTGAAGAATGAGGAATGAATGAACTAGCAAGCAGGTGGGTACAAGTAGGAAAACCTAGAAATGTTGTACCCCATATTCTCTACCCCACTACAGCCTACACAGACTATAGCATATAAGTTTGACACACCCCCATAGACAAAGTGGGGGAGAACAAGAGGTCACAAGACCAGTCAAGCAAAGCAAAGCAAGCTCAGGGTGGATCACTACGTCACCACACAGTCCGAGCACAAGAGCAAGGCCACAAGGCCAGTTTACATACAAGATCATATATAAAGGTAAACAAGCAAGTGCAGGTATAGAAAGATCACAGTAGAAGCAAGGTCAAGAAGTGAGCAAGTGAGGCCAAGTAGGCACAAGACCTAGCATCGTACAGAAGCGCTGATGATCACCAGGCGGAAGTGCCTTGGTAAAGTTATCAGCAGTGTTGGCCTTAGAGGCCACGTAAGCAAGGCGCAGCTGACCACGCTGCTGCAGCTCACGAGCAAGAAAGTAGCGAAGAGCAATGTGCTTCGTTCTGTGCTCCAGTCTGTGCTCCCGACACAAGGCCAGCATGGCCTTGTTGTCTACGTACAGAACTGGAGGAGAACGAGGCGGCTCTCCTAGGTCAGTCAGCAGGTAGGTGAGCCAGCGTAGCTCCTGTGCAGCCATGGCCCCCGCGTAGATCTCAGCCTCACAGCTGGAGCCGAGAACAGAAGACGAGCGGGTAGACCGCCACGAAACAGAGCCGGAGCCAAGGCTGAAGGTGTAACTTTGTGACGACCGCTGCGTAGCCTGGTCGTCAGCCCAAGAAGCGTCTGCGTGACCTATGAGGACCACTGGACGTCGCCCTCCAAGCTCTAGCCCCATCCCAGACGTACTGCACAAGGAGCGCAACACCCTCTTCGCTGCAGCCATATGCTCTGGTCGGTGTCTCCCATAAGCAACATAGCGTGCCAAGATGCTAAGAGGGTATGCAAGGTCAGGTCGTGTGCAGGTCATCAGGTACATGAGGCAGCCAACAAGCTTTGGGTACGGGCCACTCGGCTCTACGGACTCATCCGAAGGCAGAGCTGAGAGCGAGTGGCGAGTAGACAGAGGAGTGGCCTGAGGCGAGGAGTACGTGAAGTCGAAGCGCTGAAGGACCTGCTGCACCATGTGTGACTGAGTCAGGGTAATGGTGCGCTGTGCTCTGTCCTGGGTGACCTGCAAGCCAAGGTAGCTGCGCAGTTCACCCAGGTCTGTGCACGTGTGTCTCTTCTACAGCTCGGACTTCACGTGGGCGAGTCCATCAGTGTCACAAGTGGCAAAGACCAAGTCCTCGACGTACACGAGGATGTAGAACGACGGCAAAGAGGTGTCGGTGCGCAGAAACAGCGACGGGTCGGCTGTAGAAGGAGCAAAGCCAAGAGCCGCAAGTGTAGTCCTCAGTGTGTCGTGCCACTCACGGGGCGCCTGGCGGAGACCGTAGACTGGCCGCCGGAGGCTCCAATGGGTACCAGGAGGAAACGACCCAGTAAAGCCAGGTAGGCCGTGCAGCCAGATCTCCTCGTGCAGGCTGCCTTGCAGGAAAGCTGTGCTGAAGTCAAGAGAGTGAAGCTCGTAGTCGCGCTAAGCGACTATGTGTAGCAACACACGAAGAGTGGTCATCTTCGGGGTGGGAGAGAATGTCTGAAAGTAGTCAACTCCCTGCCGCTGACTGAAGCCTCGAGCCACATAACGCGCCTTGGAGACAGGCGGAGAACCCGGCGGCCGCTTCACCCTGAAAATCCACATGCCACTGACGATGTTCGCCCCAGGTGGGGGAACCTCGTCGACGTAGGTGCCTGTGGACTTCCAGGAAGCCATCTCTGCGTCCATGGCTGACTGCAACTAAGAGGAGTAGGGACCCTCGATCGCCTCAGCGTAGGATCGAGGAGTCGGGATGTCTGGTGCATCCGGGTCTCCCTCAGGGGCAATCGGCGTGGACGCGAGATGAGGCAAAGCAGCAGCAAAACACTGTAACTCCTCCTGCCTGTCCTCAAGGACGTCCGTGCTAAGAGCACGCTCACCCCAGACGGACGGAGGACAAACAGACTCAGACTCAGCAACAAGACTAGTGGCGTAGTCTAGACGACAGCGAGTAGCAAAGTCGACAAGCTCAGCAACTAAGGCAGACGCGGCAGTGGACTCAAAGGAAGGGTCTGTGACAACAGTGGCGCGGAGACACATGACAGTAGGACTGGCAGCACGAAGAGAGTTAGACTCTGGGTCAGCAAGGACAGGAAGAGAGGAATCTGGAGGAGACGGCAACGGGACACGCAGAGGAGCAGTAGAAGGACGCAGTGCCATCTGGTGTGTGCCTGGGACCGCAGGAGGACACGGACGCGGAGCACGACCACTAGTGCGAGCAGCACGAACAGGCGACGCAGGACAAGACGCAGGCTCACGACGCTCAGCAAGACCTCCAGTAGGACCACTGTAGGGAGAAGGAGCAGGCAGGGGGGAGGCGGGATGTAACTATGACTACGACTGGACAGGCTGTGGACACGCTAAGGGAGGAGCAGGACCAGTAGAAGGCGGAAGACCAAGAACCTGCTCAAGGAGCGGAACGAAGTACGGCCGCGGCCGCGCAGCGCCTCCAGAACCAGCAGGGACAGCACCAGTACCCCCAGCGGCACCTCCAGCTCCAACAGCGCCAACTCTAGCACCCTCAGAAGCACCAGCGCGAGCAGCACCACCAGCGCCAGCACCCCCAGAAGCTCCAGCTCCAGCAGCTCCAACTCCAGCAGGACCGCTAGCTCCAGTACCGCCAGCAGCTCCAGCACCAGGAGCACCTCCAGGCCCAGTAGCTCCAGTGCCTCCACTACCTCCAACAGCTCAAGCAGTACCTCCAGCAGGACCAACTCCAGCAGCCCCAGCAGCACCCCCAGTCCCAGCAGCTCCAGTACCGCCAGTACGAGCACCTCCAGGACCAGCAGCAACAGTAGTACCTCCAACTCTAGCAGCACGGCTCCAGCGCCAGGCAAACCACTCGCGCAGCTCCTGCGGAGAGAGTAGCTCCCGCCTCGACGAAGCACCGTCAGAGGCCACACGAGCAGACCCAGCACCCCCAAGCTCCGCACCCCCAGGCTCCGTACCCCCAGGCTCAGCACCCCCAGGCTCCGCACCCCCAGACTCAGCACCCCCAGACTCAGCACCCCCAGTCTCAGCACCCCTAGGCAGCGCACCTCCAGACCCGGCACCCGCAGGCTCAGCACCCCTAGCAGCACTAGAGTCAACAGCTACCTCGACAGGCTCGACTGCGTCTACCTGGGACACACCTGACGGGGCAGGACCCTGAGGGGGGAGAGGGTCTACCGGGGGGGGGGACCTGGCGCAAGGAAGAGTGGCGGCGGGGGGAGGGGCGCAGTGCGGTAGGGGAAGAGACGGTAGTAAGGCACCGACTCGTCAAAGGTGACGTCCTGGGAGGACAGAACACGGTGCGAGGTGGGGTGGTAAAACTGCCAACCAGGCGCGTCAGGGGGGAAGCCAAGGAAGACGCAGGGAACAGCACGGGGGGACAGCTTGTCCGCAGACAAGTCGCGGACAAACGCCCGAGATCCCCAGACTCGAAACGCAGACGCATCGCCAACCTTCCCCGTCCACCGCAAGGTGGGGGAGGTCTCTGGTAAGGAGACCCTGTTGGGTGCAAATTCACATTGCACGACATCCTGCCGTCTGTTTGTACGAGTATGCGTGTGCGAATGCATTTGCGTGTGAATGGTATGTTTGTGTGTTTGTTTGCTTTCGCAATTTTCGCTTGAAGCATTTGCAGGTACTCGCAAAATGTGCGCTTCGTCATAACATTGTACGCGCTATGAACAGTACAAGCAGAAAGGACGAGCTCGCAAAGGAACCCAAGATGGAAGCTTTGCGGTTCAACTTACATGATTGCGCAGATTCAGTTCTATCCAACTCGAAATTGTACTGTTTTGTTTGGTTGACTATAGTGTAGCAGGGCAGGCACTATAGGGGTACAATTTAGGTGAAAGTTGGATGTTGTTTGTCTGTATCTGCATGCTACAGGGCCAGGGGAAACCAGCGGAACCAGCATTTGGCTGGTTGGGCAAAGACAAAACAGGTTCTGTTTTTAGGACCTGAACCTGGTTGTTGTTTTCCCAGGTTGGAAAAACAGAACCAGAGGTTGTTCACCAACCTATCACCTGCTATTTTGTCCAGCCAGGTTGGTTCTGTTGCTTGGAATTATTTGGGATCATCCCTGGTTGTTCCCAGGTTGATTCCCAAGGTCCTTGCTAGCTAGAGCTATTTATTCCTTCTCTGTTTGTACCTGAATATAGTGAAATTGATTCAAGCGAATTCCTTCCTTGCTGGAATTTCTTTTCTACGCGGTGCGACGGCGGAATGCTACCCGAGTCAACGCTAGTACGCTAGCACTCCAACGCTAGGCTAACGCTGTCCGAGCCATAACTTCGTAATGGCAGAACTTTTCGCGAGGCAACTTGGCTTATTTTAAAGCTCTTAGAGTGAGCTTCGATATAGGAAATTCTCAGCTTAATCCGATCGGCGGTCTGCACGATACGCTGCGCGACGTTCAAGGTACTCTTGCTGTTTTGACTAAGTCCCTCTTGATCCCTCTCTCTACAAACTCGGACCCGAGGATAGGGGCTGGTCTTGTACCAGGCACCCAAGGACCCTTGGAGGTGACCCCGAGGAGAGGTTTTAAGTGTGATAAAGTCTTAATAGCTTGAGTTTATTAGGCCCTTACACCAACAAGCTGGTATCAGAGCTGCGTTATAGTGATCCTCGATATAGGTAGCTATGGCGGGCAACACCTCGGCGGTAGCTGGTGAATCTTCAGCCCAAGATCGTAGCGGCAGCCATGATTCTGGTGTTTCTGCGCCAAGGGGAGCGCGAACAAGCCAGGGCTCGCTGATCAAGGAGGTGCTGAAAAACTTCACCGTCGAGAAGTTCAATGGTGAGGGCTATGATGATTGGGCCTGGAAAATGCAACTTTATTTCCGTCAAATCGGATTGCTGAAACTAATGATTGGGGAGGAGCCTAGACCGAGTGACCCCGCCCTTCAGGAAGATTGGGACGAGCGCGCCTCGGCTGGCTACTACTTGATGTCGCAGAGTTTGGAGCTGAACCAGCGTCACCACGTCATGCACCTGCTGCCGGAGGTTGAGTGCGGTCCAAAGGCGTGGACCGTGTTGAAGGAGCTGCACGCCCCGACCTCCGTTGTTGCAACATTGATGCTGGAGAGGGAGCTGTCCGCGTTGCGCCTGAGCGAGGGAGAGCCGGTGCAACCTGTCCTGGACAAATTGCGCGACCTCTACGCGAAGTTGGCGACCGCAGGAATCACCTACCCGGAGCAAACAAAGTGCTTGAAGATGATCTCGCTGCTGCCGGAATCGTGGCTTCAATTTACGAGCGGATTGAGCCTGCCGCAGAACCAGAGCTTGTGGACGCTCGAGTGGGTGCGGACGAAGATTCTGGAGGAGGACTTCCGTCGCCGCCAACTGAGGGGTGGAGACGACGGCAGCAGCGGCTACGGGATGCAAGGGAGCCGACGTGGCAAAGGACGTGGCTTCGGTGGTGCTGGACGCGGTGCAAAGAAAGACGACGACTCCAACGACCAACAAGGAGGTACCGGTTGGGGTCGCGGTGCAAAATCTGGACGTGGGGGCAAGTCGGGTGCTGGTGGCAAAATGAAAGGGAGTTGCTGGTATTGTGAGAAGGAAGGGCACCCCTGGTTTTTGTGCTATAAGAAACCCGATGGATGGACCCCCCAGAATCGTCACCAGGATGGCGGCGCGCGGAGGAACCAGAAAAACGGCGCCAACATGGTCGCTGATTCGTCCGACAACAACCCGAAGGGCAACGGCGGTGCGGAGAAGAAGAAGGAGCGCACCGCGGGCCAATTCTTCCATATAGGAGACAAGGGGGAGCAAGGAGACGCATCTGCTAAGGCTGGAGCAGAGCTGCACCCCCTGGACTATTGGGTGTTGGACACAGGCGCTGCTTGGACAATGACGCCGCGCAAGGACCTGCTGGACGACGTACGCGCTGCACCGATTAATGAGGTGTGCTCTGCCTCTGGACACATGTTGAAGGTGGCTGGTGCGGGACGAGCTGCATTTAAGGGAGCGGATGGCAAGCCGGTGGTGCTGCACGACGTTCTCCTCGTCCCCGACCTGAAGGCCAACCTCATCTCCCTCCGTAAGCTTGGCAAGGCTGGGGTGAACACCAACACGGATGGGGCTCGCACTTATAAGGGGAAGCTGGGCAATCGGGTGCTTTGGGATCTGCACGAGAGCAAGGACGTGTACAGATCTATGTGGCAGCTGCCGGCGCTGGCGTGGCACGGTGGGGGGCAGGCTGGAGAGGGGTCTGCATCCCAGGGGGAGTGCAACGCCGTTGGAGGGGTTGGTGTGAAAGTGTCAGCCAGATCTGGGGAGACAGATTGGGCAACTGCACACCGACGTTTGGGGCATGTGGCAATGCCTTTGCTGAAGCAGCTGGAGAAGGATGGAGCCGTTAAGGGCTTAAAGCTGAACGGACAACCACCCGATGATAACTGTGAAATTTGCCTCCTTTCAAAGTTCACCCGTTTCCCCTTCCATAGTGTGGCTGGCAGGAGCAAAAAGCGGTTGGAGCTGGTCCACATGGACTTGGTGGGGCCGCTGCCGGTGCAAGGGCACAAGGGGGAGCGGTACTTCCTAACCATAGTGGATGACTGGAGCAGGCTAATGTGGGCGTATCCGCTGAAGCAGAAAGATCACGCCGCCTCCACGATTCGGGACGATTGGCTGCCGTTCGTGGAGAAGCAAGCGGAGTGTGTGGTGAAGCGGATTAGGACAGATCGGGGTGGTGAGTTCCTTGGAGCTGAGATGACGGCCTGGCTCAAGAAGCAGGGCATCCAGAGGGAGCTGACCACGGCTTACACCCCACAGTCCAACGGTGTAGCAGAACGGGCGAACCGGACAATTCTGGAGACAGCTAGGGCGCTGCTCATAGAATCTGGGCTGGGCAACTTGATGTGGCCCCATGCTGTTCGGCACGCTACCGTCGCTAGGAACAGGGTACTCACAAAGGTTGGGGATGACTCGTGGGTGCCGTTGGAGAGGTGGCTTGGGAGGAAGCCGCCGGTGGACATGCTGAGGGTGTTCGGTTGCATGGCAGTCGCCCACGTTCCCAAGACCTACCGCAGTAAGTTGGGGGCGAGTGCAATCTGGTGTGTGCATTTGGGGCTGGCTGCTGAGAGCAAGGGATGGCTGCTGTGGGAGCCTTCCAAGGGTGTGTTGTTTGACAGCAGGGATGTGAAGTTTGTTGAGGGCATGATGTATGGGAGCTGGGAGAAACAGCCGGAGGCCAGGGTGTCCCAGCAGATGGAGCAGATTACCATGCAGCTGGACCTGACTCCTAGTGTGTGGGAGGAGGGAGAGGAGGCAGCTGCAGAGGGTGGTGATAAAGAGAAGGTGCAGGAGGCACCTGCTGGTGGAGGTGATGGTGTGGAGATTAGCGGTAGCACTAGTGGAACTGCTGGATCCGAGGGAGGAGAGCAGCAGCAGGGGAAAACTAAGAAGCCGAAGGGTGTTATTATGAAGGGATGGGAGACACCCGTCTCCAGGCCAGGACGTACCCGTATGGCTACTAAGAAGCTGACTGCAGGAGCTGATGTAGCGGAGCAGCAGCTTGGGACCGAGGAGGCATTGCTGATTCTACCGCATGGCTATGACCCGGATGAGGAGGATCAACCTGCGTACTGTTTTCTTGCCCCTGCACCAGAGGAACCAGCTAGCATGGAGGAGGCATTAGCTGGACCAGATAGGGACAAATGGCTAGCTTCCAGGGATGCTGAGTACCAGAGCCTGCTGGAGAATGGGACTTGGGAACTAGTGGTGCTGCCTGAGGGAAAGAAAGCGGTACAATGCAAGTGGGTGCTAAGGATCAAGACTGACGACAAGGGGCAGGTCACCATCTACAAGAGTAGGTTGGTGGCTAAGGGGTTTATGCAGAAGGAGAAGCGGGACTTCAATGAGATCTTTGCTCCCACTGCCAAACCCCCTACCCTTCGTGTCTTGTTGGCAGATGCAGCCGTTAGTGGGAAGTTCATTATCCAGATGGACATATCAACGGCATTTCTCAACGGGATTTTAGAGGAGGAGGTGTTCATGACGCAGCCACCTGGGTATGAGGATGGTACGGGCAGGGTGTGCAAGCTGAAAAAGTCCATCTACGGCTTGAAGCAGGCGCCACGCTGCTGGTACCAGAAGTTGGCAGCTGTTTTAGAGGAGATGGGATTCAGGACCAGCAGCTGTGATGAGAGCCTCTTTCTCAAGGGGGAGGGGGAGAAGCTGGTGCTGTTTCTGGTCTATGTGGACGACATTCTTCTCTTTAGCAGCAGCATGAAGGAGATCCAGAAGGTGCAGCAGCAGCTGATGGAGAACTTCAAGTGCAAGAACCTTGGGGAGGTAAAGTACTACCTCGGGATGCACGTGGAGAGGGATCTGGATCACAGGTGGTTGAAGCTGCACCAGGGGAAGTTCATCAAGGAGCTTGGGGAGAAGTACGGAATTGAGAATGAGCGCAAGGTTGCAACTCCCCTGCCAGCAGAATTCAAGCTTGTGAAAGCTGCAGAGGATGAAGGGGTTGAAGCCGAGGAGCAGCAGCAATTTCAGTCCTTGGTGGGCAGCCTCTTGTATGCAGCAGTTCACACGAGACCCGACATCTCTTTCTCGGTTGGGCAGCTGGCTAGGGTAGTGCAGAATCCATCAGAGGAGCAGGTGGATGCAGCTGAGCGTGTGGTGAAGTATCTGAACTCTCACCCAAGCATTGGAGTTCAATACTCCGCATCTGCACAGGTGAAGCAGAAAGGGGTTGAGGTGCTGAAAGAGAAGAGGGAGAGGCTTGGAGAAGGCAAGCTTTTTCTCACTTGCTTTACTGATGCTACGTGGGCCTCTGAGAAGGAGGATTCCTCATCTGTGGGAGGATACATCTGCGTAGTTGGGGGAGGACCGGTTAGTTGGAGGTCAAAGAAGCAGACGGAGACAGCACTCTCTTCCGTGGAATCAGAGTACATGGCGATGTTCCATGGGGTGAAGGAGGTGATTTGGCTGAGGAGGCTGTTGGAGGAGATTGGCCAGGAGCAAAAGGTTGCTACGCCGCTGTTTTGTGATAGCAAGGGAGCTCTTGGGATGGCCAGGAACGCTGTGCTTCATGGGCTGAATAAGCACATGCGTATCAAGTGGCACTGGCTGCGTAAGGAGGTGAAGAGGGGGACGGTGAATCCGATCTACATCAAGACTCACCAGCAGCCAGCAGACTTCCTCACCAAGAGGCTTGCGGATGAGTCTCATTGGCGTTGTGTGCGCATGAGTGGAATGAGCATGAACTAGTATGGAATGATGGGGATGCAGCCGGCAGGCTGAGGGGGAGTGTGTTGGGTGCAAATTCACATTGCACGACATCCTGCCGTCTGTTTGTACGAGTATGCGTGTGCGAATGCATTTGCGTGTGAATGGTATGTTTGTGTGTTTGTTTGCTTTCGCAATTTTCGCTTGAAGCATTTGCAGGTACTCGCAAAATGTGCGCTTCGGCATAACATTGTACGCGCTATGAACAGTACAAGCAGAAAGGACGAGCTCGCAAAGGAACCCAAGATGGAAGCTTTGCGGTTCAACTTACATGATTGCGCAGATTCAGTTCTATCCAACTCGAAATTGTACTGTTTTGTTTGGTTGACTATAGTGTAGCAGGGCAGGCACTATAGGGGTACAATTTAGGTGAAAGTTGGATGTTGTTTGTCTGTATCTGCATGCTACAGGGCCAGGGGAAACCAGCGGAACCAGCATTTGGCTGGTTGGGCAAAGACAAAACAGGTTCTGTTTTTAGGACCTGAACCTGGTTGTTGTTTTCCCAGGTTGGAAAAACAGAACCAGAGGTTGTTCACCAACCTATCACCTGCTATTTTGTCCAGCCAGGTTGGTTCTGTTGCTTGGAATTATTTGGGATCATCCCTGGTTGTTCCCAGGTTGATTCCCAAGGTCCTTGCTAGCTAGAGCTATTTATTCCTTCTCTGTTTGTACCTGAATATAGTGAAATTGATTCAAGCGAATTCCTTCCTTGCTGGAATTTCTTTTCTACGCGGTGCGACGGCGGAATGCTACCCGAGTCAACGCTAGTACGCTAGCACTCCAACGCTAGGCTAACGCTGTCCGAGCCATAACTTCGTAATGGCAGAACTTTTCGCGAGGCAACTTGGCTTATTTTAAAGCTCTTAGAGTGAGCTTCGATATAGGAAATTCTCAGCTTAATCCGATCGGCGGTCTGCACGATACGCTGCGCGACGTTCAAGGTACTCTTGCTGTTTTGACTAAGTCCCTCTTGATCCCTCTCTCTACAAACTCGGACCCGAGGATAGGGGCTGGTCTTGTACCAGGCACCCAAGGACCCTTGGAGGTGACCCCGAGGAGAGGTTTTAAGTGTGATAAAGTCTTAATAGCTTGAGTTTATTAGGCCCTTACACCAACAGACCCGGGCCTGAAGGTTGAGCTGATGCGCTGCGTACTGAACCGCAAACGGCCACAGAAAATGGGGAGCAGCCGCATGGATCATGGACGTACGAGCGACGTCCATGACCATGCCAATGCGGCGCTCAGCAATCCCATTTTGCTGTGGAGAGGCCGGAAGCGTGAAGGTCTGGCGGATGCCCTGTGCACGAGAGAAGGCTCCTAGACGGGCAGAGGAAACTCCCCGCCTCTGTCAAAGTGCAGACGCAGAACAGGAAAGTCCGAGCCGAAACTCTCTCTGAGCTGGAGACGAGCTGCGCGGATCCAGTCGATCAACACCTCAGTGACGTCACCCTTGCTGCGCAAGGGGAACACCGTGGTGTAACGCGAGTAGTCGTCAACCACCAACAGGAAGTAACGCTCGTGACCCTGGCCACGGATGCGGGCGGAGCCCCACACGTCCATGTGAAGAGTCTGCAGGGGAGCCTCTGTCGGAGGAAACTCGGAGGAGTGAGGGGCAGCCCGCTGCCGCCCCTCGACGCAGGGAACGCAGGTAGGGGCAGGCCCCGGAGGGAGGGGAGGGAGGGACCGGGGGAGACCAGAGACAAGGACACGGGAGGCCATGCCTCGGAGACGAGGCAGGGAGGGGTGACCAAGGCGGTGGTGCCAAAGGAGAGTCTGGTGGGACAGGAGACGACATGAGCAGGGAGCAGACTTAGGACCAGACCTGGGCACTGCAGCAAACACCTGACTCGACGCAGCTACCTGACCAGACTCAGCAACTGGAGGAGACCCAGTAGTGAGTGTGTACAGGCTCGACCCCGGCCGACGGGTAAACGTGGCCAAGTGTCGGCCCGTCCGAGCACAAGTACAGTGGGTCACCCGCTGACTCGCAGGGGTGAACTGGTCAACCCCCTGATCCTGTAGATCAGCACCACTCACCAAGTTCGTAGAGAACGAGGGGAGGTAGAAACCTGACAGGGTGCCAGAGGGGGCTGCCGGACACGGTAAGACAGTGGAGAAGCTAGCAAGGACAGGAACCCCAGTGGGGTCCGCCACGGAGACCGCAACCGGCCGACTAAGCAGCGTAAGCGTGGTGCGGACTCGAAAGAAGGAGCGGGAAGCACCCGAGTCAAGGGTGAAGGTGTGTAAGGCCTGAGCCGACGTGGTACCTGAGAGAGCAGACTCACCAGCACCTGGGGCATCAGACGCACTAGCACCTAGAGCAGCAGCCTCACCAGCACCTAGAGCAGCAGGCTCAATGCCCGGGTCAGGCGGAACACACAGGTAACAGTCACCCTCATGACTAGTAGGCAATGCATACATGGCAGTGAGGATAGCATCATAGTCAAGAGTATAGATATCTACCCGCAGCTGAAGCAGCTCCACCCAGTCGGGGAGCTCAGCCGCGTCGCCAAACTCCGTACACTAGGCGTCGCTCAGATGGCCGAAGCAGCGGGACTCTGCGTGACCAAACTTCCCGCAAGGCTGACCAGTCCAAGCACCAGTGCGAATGACGTACGGACAGCGAGCAGTACCACGTGACCCGTCACGCTGAGCATACCACTCACGAATCTGTTGGGGCGAAAGGACCGCGCACGGACGACGCTGAAGTTGCACCTGGCCACTACAAGCAGCTGCCGAACTACTTACTCCAGGACGACTCCCACTACGGCCACCTTGACAACCCCAACTAGCGTACCACTCACGAAGCTGTTGGGGGGTGAGGGACTCACGCAGACGGCGCTGGAGCTGCATCTGGACACACCAGGAGCAGTAGTAGCAGTAGAAAGAGCAGTAGCACCAAGAGCAGCAGTAACAGCAGTACGGGCAGGGCAGTGCTCACCAGTGGCGAGATGGGCAGGCGTATGACGGCGGCAACGGCGAGGCCGCTACCACTCTAGGGCGAGGGCTCCGCGGCAGCTGCAGGGGCGGCTGCTCCAGGGGCGGCTGCTCCAGGGGTGGCTGCTGCAGGGGCGACTGCTCCAGGGGCGGCTGCTGCAGGGGTGGCTGCTCCAGGGGCGGCTGCTGGAGTGGCGGCTGCTCCAGGGGCGGCTGCTGCAGGGGCGGCTGCTCTAGGGGCGGCTACTACAGGGGTGGCTGCTCCAGGGGCGGCTGCTGCAGTGGCGGCTGCTCCTGCGGCAGCTGCTTCAGGGGTGGCTGCTCCAGGGGCGGCTGCTGCAGGGGCGGTTGCTCCAGGGGCGGCTGCTGCAGTTGGGGCTACTCCAGGGGCGGCTGCTGCAGTGGCGGCTGCTCCAGGGGCGGCTGCTGCAGTGGCTGCTCCTCCAGGGGCGGCTGCTGCAGGGGTGGCTGCTCCAGGGGCGGCTGCTGCAGGGGCGGCTGCTCCAGGGGCGGCTACTGCAGGGGTGGCTGCTCCAGGGGCGGCTGCTGCAGTGGCGGCTGCTCCTGGGGCGGCTGCTTCAAGGGTGGCTTCTCCAGGGGCGGCTGCTGCAGGGGAGGCTGCTCGAGGGGCAGCTACTGCAGTGGCGGCTGCTCCAGGGGCGGCTGCTGCAGTGGCGGTTGCTCCAGGGGCGGCTGCTGCAGTGGCGGCTGCTCCAGGGGCAGCTGCTGCAGTGGCGGCTGCTCCAGGGGCGGCTGCTGCAGTTGGTGCTGCTCCAGGGGCGGCTGCTGCTGGTGTGGCTGCTCCGGGGGCGGCTGCTGCAGTGGCGACTGCTCCAGGGGCGGCTGCTGCAGTGGCGGTTGCTCCAGGGGCGGCTGCTGCAGTGGCGGCTGCTCCAGGGGCGGCTGCTGCAGTGGCGGCTGCTCCAAGGGCGGCTGCTGCAGTTGCTGCTGCTCCAGGGGCGGCTGCTGCTGGTGTGGCTGCTCCAGGGGCGGCTGCTGCAGTGGCGACTGCTCCAGAGGCGGCTGCTGCATGGGGCGGCTTCTCCAGGGGCGGCTGCTGCAGGTGTGGCTGCTCCAAGGGCGGCTGCTGCAGTGGCGGCTGCTCCAGGGGCGGCTGCTTCAGGGGAGGCTGCTCCAGGGGCGGCTGCTGCAGTGGCGGCTACTCCAGGGGCTGCTGCTGTAGTGGCGGCTGCTCCAGGGCGCGGGTTAGGGCAGGGCGCTGCGGCGGGCAGCAGTGACGCCACGCGGGTCCCGCAGGGGCGTCGCGACGCACAGGAGCCGCGCCCCGCGGGTCCCGCAAGGGCGTCGCGACGAGGCAGGGGCGACGCGGCGGGGCCGCAAAGGGTGACGGGGCGGGGTCGCTACGGGCAGCGGGGCGGGGCCGCGAAGGGGCCGCAAAGGGAGCCGCGAGGGGGCCGCGAGGGGGCCGTGAAGGGGCCGTGAAGGGGCCGCGAAGGGCGACGGGGCGGGGTCGCTACGGGCAGCGGGGCGGGGCCGCGAAGGGGCCGAGAAGGGGCCGTGAAGGGGCCGTGAAGGGGCCGCGAAGGGGCCGTGAAGGGGCCACGAAGGTGCCACGAAGGGGCCCTGAAGGGGCCGTGAAGGGGCCGTGAAGGGGCCGTGACGGGGCCGTGAAGGGGCCGTGAAGGGGTCGTGAAGGGGCCGCGAGGGGGCCGCGAAGGGGCCGTGAAGGGGCCGTGAAGGGGCCGTGAAGGGGCCGTGAAGGGGCCACGAAGGTGCCACGAAGGGGCCGCGAAGGGAGGCCGCGAAAGGGCCACGAGGGGCCTGAAGGGGCCGCGAAGGGCCGTGAGAGGGGCCGTGAGAGGCCGTGAGAGGGGCCGCTACGGGGCCGTAGGGGAGCGCGACGGGCCACTAAGGGCAGGGGACGCGACGGGAGAGTAGGCACACGGGGCGCGACTCGGGCAGGGGCGAAATCGATATTCGATGGGCCCTAGGAAACGTTCCCACTACGGAACCTGCTCTATACCATGTGAAGAATGAGAAATGAATGAACTAGCAAGCAGGTGGGTACAAGTAGGAAAACCTAGAAATGTTGTACCCCATATTGTCTACCCCACTACAGCCTATACAGACTATAGCATATAAGTTTGACACCGTCGTACTCTCACAGCCGCCATCGCCTTCGTTGTGCATGGGTCGAGGAGAGGCGGACGCATCGTCCGCTTCTACACGGGGAAGGGGTGCTCACGCGCCCAGTGCGCACGAGTTTTAAGTCTGCCTCGCCATACCCGCCAGCCTCGTGGCATGCCCGAACACCAGCCTCTCTCACCTGCAGGGTATCTTATACACCTGCTTCGACTACAGGGCCGACCATGGTGACTAAGGCAGCTGCTAGCCTACAACGACTTAGCTAATGAACGCAGAAGTCGGCTATCTGAAGGTTCTAATGCGGGGCCGTCCACGCTCACCACACAACGTGAGTGGACTACGGAGGAGGGGACGAGGTTGTGCAAGTGAACGTAGCACTCTAGAAGTGTTCTTATTTCTTGCTTGTGTTCACGGAGAAGTTTGGCAAGAATTCCACTAAGGAAGTTGAAAGAACAATTTGCATTGAAAAGTTGATAATACAATTGAGGCAGGGCTCGAATGGCATGCAACACCTAGCAAGGGCGAAGTTTGCCAGCGCAGCAGAAGAGCGGCTCGCAAACGCTGCAGCAGAGTAATCTGCCAACGTTGCTCTGGGCGCAGTCTGCCAGCACTGCAGTCGCAAGTAAACTATTTGCAGTCGCAGGTTGTCTATCTACGCAGATGTGCGCACCTACCAAGTAGGAGCAGATTGGCGGTTTCACCGTCAGGCACATTGCGCAGGTGCCAGGTAGAAAACGTGTCGTCGGTTTCGCCAGGTGCGCACCGTCGACCACGTGATGTCGTTCCGCATGTAGAACTTCGCCAAAACCTCCTGTGCGAATGTTCGCACGCCTTCACAGAGGTTTGCACAACTCTGCAACTTCAGTTGATCAGCTCGACATCGCTCGGTCGAACAGCGTTCACCGAGCAGAGCTTCTCAACTCGAACTCTTTGACCAGAGTTCATCGACCTGAACTTTTCGACCAGCGTTCTTCAACGAGCGCTCTCCGACGGGAGCTAGTCGTGCAGAGATCGTCGACCAAAGTTCGTCGCGCAGAGCTCGTCGCCCAGATTCTGACGAGCAGGGCCTGCTCAACCGCAACTTCCGTCGAACTGCAGAAGCCTATTTCGTCGACCAATACGTCGCGAACTTCTCGTCGACGGCGAGATCGGTTGCGCCCAAGCGAGGGCTGGGCCTTTCTCTTCGACAAATACTTGCTACGGCCACGAACGGTGGGGGCTGTTACGAATAGTACAATGTGAAGTACTGTGCAATCCTATCACTAGCAATCAAGGGACGCAATGAAGAGTACGAAGGCGAAAAGTCGAAGTAACGCAAAGAGTCGCGCACAATTAGGCAGCTCTTGACCGACCTGGTAGAAGCATTGGGCTGTTGCATGAGCAATGATTGGTCAAGTACATGTTCGTAACCGTCCGGAATCGTACAGCTGGGTTTCGTTGCAATAAGGGATTGTACTTCTTAGAATACATGGCTAGACTAGGTCGCTACGTATTCCACTGTACTCTTATATAAAAACCTTTGTATTTGCATGTTTTTATCACCTTAGTCAATTTCAATTCACTTTTACCTTGTTGGAAACAATCAGTGTTAAGCGCTCCTATCGTGTCGAAACACTAAGGCACAAGCGAAGTACTGCATACCGAGGCACCAGCGAGTCAACTCTCGGAGGTTGAAGTAACCGCTGGAGGTTACGCGAAAGTCAAAGGTCAGCGACCTTTGACCTGACAAATACAGCACGACAGCAAGGACACACAACTGACTCGATACAGAGCAGTTGCCCGAGTCGTCACTGTATCGAACCGCAACAGCAACAGTAAAACAGTTATTAACTGTATCCCTTCGTATTCCTTGTACTCTTATATAAAACCTTGTACTTGCTTGTTTTAATCCAACTCACTTTGTTCTCACATACTAGTGCAAGGTGGTTCAAAGTCTCATCATTAAACACTTCCGCTACCACATCACTCTACCCAGAGATTAACCCTACCAAAGATCCTAAGGGGCTTCTCAGCCCAACATGGTATGAGAGTAGGTTAGGGTAAAATCTATTTCTCCTTCAATTACACCAAGAGACATGTCTACTAGAAAAGAGAGGAGCTCCTCCAACGCCTCTCCTGGTACTACTCCTACTCCACCTCCTGCCTCTGGCCTACAGACAGAGGAAGGCACAACAACGAGACCAACAGCAGGGTCTATCAAAACACCCGCAAACCAAGGCGCGGGCTTCGATCCAAGCATGATGGAGAAATTCTTCTCCTTCATGTCCTTCTACGAGCAGCATCAGCAATGAGTACCTGCGCAATCAAACAACAACAACAACAACAACAACAACAACAACAACAACAACAACAACGTGACGCCCATGAGTCTCGATGGCTCATCCTACGCACGCGGGAATCAACAACAACAACCTACCTTCGCTCCGTACGAGCCACAGCGCGGCTCCGTCAGCTTCATGCCACAACCACAACCTGCACCGGGACAAGAAAGAACGTTGGACGCAGTACAAGTTCAGTCGCAGTTCGCGCACGTTTTAAAACTGCAAACGACAAAACCTTTCGACGGGAAGGATTTCTTTACCTGGTCGTTCGAATTCGAGCTGATGATGGAAGGAGCGCAAATCCTTGGCTTCTTCGACGGGTCCCTACCATACCCAACAAACGGCACACAGTATTAGAAGCAGCATTACACCTATCAGTCGATGATGGCGTACACGATACTACTGAGGAACATCACCTCGACTCAACAGCAGAACATAAGGACTTACCGAGGATATGGCAACTCCGCGGAGCTCGCGTACAATCACTTGAAGAACATGTATCAAGCAACAGACAGCGTAAACCAAAGTCAGTTAATGGCGCAGCTGACAACAATCGAAATGAAACCAGGCGAGAAGAGAATGGCGTATATCAGTCGCTGCTGCGAGCTGCGCGACAAGCTTCTTCGATGTGGAGGGTCGATTTCAGAAGACGCCTTCGTCACGGTTGTCATCGGCGGTCTTGGTCCTCACTGGCGCTCCACTCGCGCCATACTACGAGCACACGGGAGAATCTCCGAAGCAGCACTCTGCGCCGAAATCCATGCTGAGCAGCAAGACATGGACCTGCAAGAAGAATGACACAAGAGAAATGTATCAGTACCCGAATTCGCGTTCCACACTCAACAGCGCCACAACAACAACAGTCGACCGAAAAACGTACCTCCGTTCTGCCACCTCTGCAAGACTTCAGGGCATCCTCGTACGCACTGCCCGAATCGACAACAGTCAACAACGCCGTAACGCCAACTTCGCCCTTCAAGCAGCCAAGTCGCCTCAACGCAAGCAAATCCGACAACCTCAGTACAAGTCTCAACAACGTCGACGGGACAACCTGCAAAAGAAACAAGAGACATCGTCAGCTGCATGGCAAGGCTGAGCGACTCCTGCGTAACTGAGTCACCACCATATTACTCACTAGAAGAACAACTCGACAGCAGCACGCCTCGCCGCAAGTCATTTCAACCGAACCCGACGTACGCCGCCATCGTTCAAAGCGAACCGTCCGGAAAAGATACATGGTTCTTGGACAGTTGCTGCGGACAGCACATGTGCTCCTCGGGACGCTTCGTTCAACGCGAGCACCGACTTCAACGAGAGGTCATCATCACAGTCGCCAATAACCAGAACCTGCGCACACGACGACAAGGGATTGTGCAACTTCAGTCACGAGAGACAAATGTTATACTACATATGTCAAAAGTACTAATCGCGGAGGGACTCGGCTACAACTTACTGAGCGTCAGTCAGCTGATGGCGAAAGGCATACACCTCGAAGCAGACAGCACCACCCAAGAATTCAAGTTGTATCACGGGAGAGGAGGTATCTACATTGGCAAGGCGGTCCTCAAGAACAACGTCTTCGTCCTCGATTTTGTCCCTGACCTTGGCACCGCCGACAGCGACGCCATCGTCAACTTCACCGACTGGACACACCCTCCAGATCTTGATCCAGACTTCAGTCCGGAAGGCTTTTGGTATTCACATACCATTCCTGAAGCAGAACGAACACGCGCGTTAGTAACAATACAACATTCGGCAGCAGCAGAGACAACATCGGCAGCAGCAGAGACAACTTCAGCAACAGCAGAGACAACATCGGCAGCAGCAGAGACAACATCGGCAGCAGCAGAGACATCATCGGCAGCAGCAGAGACGTCATCGGCAATAGCAGGAACAACAACAGTAGCAGCAACAACGACACCAGTCCTCGTTGACGAAGCACCACCAACACCCGCACAGCAGCTGAATCCGGCCCAACGGGAAGTCCATAGAAGCGCAAATTTCACCGCCTTCTTT